TTTTCTTCCAACTTGATCAAGTGAAAGCAGCGGTTGCACCCCTCTAATTATGCCCACAATTCAGTCTTTTTTCGAAAAATTCTTCTTTGTTCCACAATTCAGCTCTACTAGTCAGTAGTTCACTAACGGCGGGAGTCTCATTTGTGGATACTAAAAATGGAACTGAATTTCCATAAGTTTTTTTATTTCTCTCTAAAATAAAAATTCATTTTCATTTTTTTTCTTTTTTTTTAGTATGTTAGAATTGCTATTGTGAAGGTCTAATGTTGAAATTATCAAAATGAACACAATTTATTTGCTACTTCCAACCCTAGAAAACTGCACATTCCCATGAATAAAACAATTGTACAAAGCTTTCAAAGGCAGCTATCACTTAAAAAAGAAAACAGACATAACAATTTTTTTAGTTAAATAATAGAAACTTAACTCGTAAACAACTTAATTTTACATGAAATATAACCATAATTATTTGTTAATTTGTTAATGATTTTATGTTATATTATGTTTCTATATCTCTAAAATTTTGCTGTAAAAATTCTAATCTTTCATATTTTCAACTTTTCTTAATTTGAGCGAAGTTAGCGTAAATTTACTATAAAAGTTTATCTTTTTTTCTATTTCAATAAATTTGTTTGTAATTTATTTAATATAATGTTGTAAATTCAAATTTTTCCTTTTTTTAATAATTTTTTAAAGTTTGAGGGATTTAAGTTGCCTTCGTCTAATGGATTGTTGCTCAATAAAAACTTTAACATGACAATATCATGATTTAATGGATTGGGTTGATACTTTGTCACAAATTGGTGGAATTGTAATTTTTAAGAGGAATTGTACATTTTGTGATATGTTTATTCCGATAATGGTATTAATGATTGAAGGAATTTATGAGGGTAATGAAGTAAGTAGCTCATTTTTGTTTATTAGTAAATAAGACTTTGCTAATGTGAGATCCCAAAAATTGGTTGGTTGTATGGGAAGGATCCACGAAATTGGAAGAAGCGACGTATACAAGATGGGGTGGTAATTACCTCTGTAAAGTTTAGAGTCATGTAATTACAGATCGAAGACGTTGCAACTTTGAAGAAATTAGGGCTTCAAAGTGTAATTTATGCCGTCTATTTTACACTGAAATTTTTCATCTAGACGTGTTAAGTGTTTGTCATTTCATGCAATTGCACATAATTTTTCAAAAGCAAATCGATTTACAGTTGATGCGGAAGCTGTTGAAAAATCAATTTTTAAAGGAGAGGATGAATCCATTATAGATGATTTTGATGACTATATTCAGAAACCGGACTACATTTTGTAAAATTTTGATATCACTTTCTGTCCATGGACATTTGATATTACACCGTTGGAATAAACTTTCCATGTTTGGCATCAAAACTATAGAAGAATTGATCAAAATTGTGAAAATAGCTAAGAGGGAGAATCTTAGATCAAGAGCAGATATGAGAAATGATGAACAATCTGGCAATAATACATTGGACTCATTCATACAAGGTACATATTTTATTAAACGGTTTTTTCACCATATACCCCTGAATTTTTTTAAATTCATCATATACCCCCGAGTTTTCACAAAAACACACCATATACCGTTGATAACCAATGATTGTTGACTTCGTCGGTCATTATGGTTAATTATGACCCGAAATCACCCTAAATACATTCCCCTACCCCCGAAACCCCCACATTCCTTTTTCCCACCCCCAAAACCACCCCAAAATTCCATTTTTCATCCTTTAACTCAATCATATGAATATGGTAATGGAAATTTGGAGTTGTTTCGGGTGTTGGAGAAAGGATATGAGTGGTTTCGGGGATGGGAGGAGAGACCTAAGGTGGTTTCGATGTATAATTAACCAAATTTCACTCATCTTATTGTCATTAGGGGTATATGGTGAATTTTTCTAACAATTCAGGGTATATGGTGAATAATTAAAAAACAGGTATATGGTGAAAAAAACCATTTATTAAAAGCAAAATGTACTACTTTACCCTTTTAGCATTGCATATTACAAATATTTCACTTATGCACTTCACCTATATTTATTCCCTTGTTTATTACACTTGACATAGACAAGTACAACATTTATTTATATTGTATTGTATTTATCGAGTGATTATTGATCCATGAGTAGAAAATTCGAATAACATAAATACTTTTCTCATACATAGTGTATGTTTATATAATATATATTACGCTCTTACAAAAATCAATGGTATTTTATGTTAATATATACTAAATCAAAAGGGATACACACCTCTTGCATAACACAGTTTGTATCAATGATATGTTTTAAAATTTGGCATATAGATGAAAAGTTGATCCTAAATAATAAACAATTCGGGCATCACCCGGGGCACATAACTAGTAAATAAATAAAGGAGGTGCTTTTCGAAAGCATTCGGGGCCGCATCAGCAAAGCCATTATATCAACCAATGAAAAAAAAAAAAGTTTGCATTTAATTTTATAATTACAAAAATCAATCATCGCGTAAGAAAAATTAACGAATGAGATTTAAGAGTTTAATTATATATGCCATGTAGGTTAAAAAAATACAATTAGTAATTTACCATTTAAATACAAATACAAATTAAAAAAAAAAAAATCATCTTTTTTACATTAAATATTTTATACTAATATCCATTAGATGAGATAACATTTATAAAGGCATTATTTTGACCAATGAAAAAAAAGTTCACATTTTATTTTAATATGATAAAAAATCAATCGTCGTGTAAACAAAAGTAATGAATGAAATTTGATAGTGTAATTTCAAGTGCCAAGTAAAAACTACTCCGCATGATTTAGGATTTAAATTATTTGAAAAAATAACAAAAAAAATATCTTTTAACCTTAATATTCTATTCTAATTTCCTACGAATGATATATCATATTTACAATTTATTTATTCATTATAAATTCAATTTTCACATAACTTACATCAAAGAATAAGGTCGCACATTATAAATTACATAAAAGTAATAAAAAATTATCTTTCTATAACAAGCAATATCAAATTAATCAAAATATTATACAGAAATAATTTGTCAAAAAAGTCCTTTAAGAGGTCAACTTTATGAGAAAGGTCGTTATGTAAAAAGGGTGGCATTAAAGGTCTTTATATCCCACTTAAGTTGTAAGGAAGGACCTTTGACCAGATTTTGACAATTGACTTTATTTGCCAGTCATTGAACATCTCATGTCCAACACATGACTTAGAAAAAAAAAATCTTTTTTTTGGTGGTTTTCTCCCTTTTCCCACCTATTCCAACTGACCCTAATTCTTCTGCCCTTATTTCTCCTTTCTCTTTTTGATTTGCAAACCCTAATTTTCATGAAGCAACTTGTTCACAACAACAATGTTCGAATCTAGTCCCTCCCATTAGAATTGAAGAGAAGTCAAATCAGGTAAGTTCAAAATCCCTTTGTTAATTATAATAATCAAGAAAGTCTCCTAATTCGCCAGTTCTCTCAATGTGCGCTCAGAAATTGCCAGTTAAGTTATTGCACCACCATTAATGGACTGCTGCAAGTCACATCGGATTAGAGAATATAGAGGAAGGAGAAATAAGGGGAAAAGAATTAGGGTCAATTGGAATTGGAGGGAAAAGGGTGAAAATAAAACAAAAAAGGGGGGGGGGGTTAGTCACTTGCTACACACGTGATGGTCAAAGGCCACAAAATAAAGTCAATCGTTGGAATTCAATATATGTGTGTATATATATAAGGACCTTCTCACAAAGTCGGCCATTTAAAAGGACCTTTCTGACAAATTTTCCTATTATATAGTCTTACAAAGAAAATTATCCTTTCGTAAGATTTATGTATGAAAAAGCATGCATTGCACGAGCTTTCATCTAATATTAAGTAAAATGGGTATTAATTTTTTAAAAAAATAAAAAGTAAAAATATTGATGGGCTAAAATTGTAAAGATGGGGCTTTAAAGTGCTATAATAAAAATAAAAAATAAAAATAAAAAACTGTGAAATTATTGTATAAATTTTAATTAATTTGACTATCACTTTCATATAAATATGTAATTTACTTGTATTGTATAAACATGTAACTTGACGAGATATGAGGAGATGGGGATGGTTAGTCCCTCCATCTCCCCCACCCATGTGATGGAAATTTGATTCCTCACAGACCCACTGTGATAGAGTGGGTTGTAGTTTAGTGTTTAAATGATAATAATAAACCACAACTCAACTCTAATGTACCTAGTCATGTGGGTAGTGCGGTGCTCGAATAGGATTATGGTTTTACCATCTCTCTCCTTCACAGATTGCTTTCTAAAAGTCTTCGCACTGTGAAATTCATCCCTCCTAAATGTCATTTGGGTTTTTCTTGGGTGTTAAAAGGCGCGCTTGATAAAGTGATTTGTAAGCATGACGACATCTCTTGCTGGTTTAATCTTCTCATGTTGCCTCTTTGTATCCTTAAAACCTTTTGTCCGAGGAGTAATCGTGAGTGTACATCTGCCGTTAGGCGGCAACGGCAGCAGGAGAGCATTGCTAATGCTATTCGTACTTGGAGTGAGCCGGGTGGTAGTATGCTGCTGTTGCGGGAAGCCCTGGCAACTGAATCCCCTTCATTGATGGATGCTGATGAGGACCTTGATTTGGAAGAGCGTAATATCACGCAGTGTTAGAGGAAGATTTGTGATGGCCATTACACCGCTGCAGTCCAGCTTCCTTCTTCTTCTGGTGTTGCTTCTTATAATGAGGCCACTCTAGCGGATTTACAGTCTAAACACCCTTCTTTTCCAGCTCCATCCTTGCCTGACATACCTATTGTTCACCTTCAGCTCGTTGCTACTTCTGCTGTTGTTTTGGATCGGATTAAGAGTTTTCCACGTGGCACATCATGTGGTAGGGACGGTTTACGTGCTCAACACTTATGGATTGCTTAAGTTGTGCTACTGTGGCTGCCTCAAATGAGTTAGTTGACTCTATTTCCAAAGTGGTTAATCTCTTTCTATCTGTAAGATGCCCTTTGGAACTAAGAGAGTATTTGCTAGTGCTCCTCTCACTCCTATTGTTAATCCCGGTGGTGGTATTCGTCCTATAGCTTTGGGTACTGCCTGGCGGCATCTTGTTTCGAAGGTGGCTGCTGTTATGGTTGGCCAGTCTTTGGGAAGTTACTTTGATGGTCTTCAATGTGGTGTTGGGGTTTCTTTAGGTGGCGAGGCAATTCTTCATGCTATGAATCGATTGATTGAGGATCGTGATTCTAATGTTGGTCTTTCTATGTTGTTGGTGGATTTTCAAAATGCCTTCAATCTAGTTGATCGTGCGGTCATGTTACGTGAAGTTCGTCGTCGTTGTCATGACATTTCGCGATGGGTTGAATTCTACTACTCTAATCCAGCCAGATTGTATTATGGGGACCACACCTTATGGTCGTCTCAGGGGTGCAGGGGGGTGATCCCCTTGGTCCTCTGCTTTTCGCTTTGGTTTTGCAACCTCTGGTGTGTAAAATCAGATATGCTTTTGAGGTATGTCTTCAGGCGTGGTATTTGGATGACGGCACTATTATTGGTGAAACTTTGGTGTTGGGGAAGGTTATGCAGTTGATTATGGAGGAAGGGCCTCGTTTTGGGTTACATCTCAACGTGGAAAAAACTGAAACTTTTTGGCATACAGAAGACCCGCGAAGCAGGCTTGTGGGTGTCTTTCCCCTTAATATTGCTCAACCATTGCATGGTGTTAAGTTGCTTGGTGGTCCTACTAGTTCCGATTCCGGTTTTAGTGGTGAGCTTGTGATGCAGAGGGTGACCAAGACCATTGCGCTTATGGATAAGGTTGCTAAGCTAGATGATCCTCAGTGTGAGTTGTTGTTACTTAGGGCATGTACCGGAGTTTCTAAACTCTACTTTGCTTTGCGTACTTGTCCTCCTAGTACTTTTGAGGCGACTCACCGCACATTTGACGAGGCTCTTCGATCTTCCTTGGAGCGTATTGTTACTGCTTTGGGGCCTGGGTTTGGCGATTGGCAGTAGCGCCTTGCCACCTTAACGTTTGCATTTGGAGGGCTTGGTGTTTATTCCGCAGGTGATGTTCGTCATTATGCTTTTCTTACCTCTCGGTTACAGTCTGCTGGGTTGTAGACAAAACTCTTACGAAATGCTGGCATTGTTGGTCTTGGTCGAGCCCTTGAAGATGCGTTGAGTCTGTTTAATGGAACAGTGGAGTCTGACATTTTGTGTAATCCTAGTGAGGTCGCTACCCCTAAACTCATGAAGAAATTGGCAGATATATATTTTACAAAGGTTACCGCTTCTGCAGAATCCGCCTTCTCTTTATCTCCTCGACAATCAGCATTGTGGAAATCGCAGCAGGGAGATCACACCTCTGCTTGGCTTTTGGCGGTCCCGATTTCAGGCCTGGGTCAGACGATGAACGCAAAGACATACCGATGTGTGTTGTGCTACCAGTTGGGTGTTCCATTATTCTCTGTCTCGACGCCGTACTCTACTTGTTCAAGGGTTTTTATTGGGGATATTTTCGGTGATCACACGGTGTCGTGTGCTGGTATTGTGGGTATTAAACATCGACATAATGTGGTTCGGGATACCCTTGTTGATATTTGCTACCGATCTGGGATTTTAGCAAGAATATAGGTAGACATTGGGTTATGTGGAGGGAACGACAGGGCCCTCAGACTGGCAGATGTGTTACTTTATTCCTGGGATCGTGGTCGCGATGTCTGTGTTGACTTGACAGGGTCTTCTCGTTTGACACAGTCTGGGCTATCTGATTTTGTTCCTGGACGGGTTGTGGCTGATGCAGCTCACCGAAAGCGGGTCAAGTACGAATCTAGTTGTCAAACAATTGGATACGGTTTCCTTCCCTTCTCCTTTTCTTCGCTTGGGGAATTAGAAAAGGAGGTTGTTGCGTTGCTGAAGCGAGCTCAGAAATTCTCAACGACTCAGGACATTAGGGCTCGTACTGCTGCACATATTTTCACTAGGATAGGCTTTGCAATAGCTAGAGGAGTGGGGGTCCAGATTGTTTTTCGGCTTCCCACTAATTTTTTATAGGTTGTATGACTTTGTCTGTTTTCGAGAAATAATAATAATAATGATGATGATGGTAATAATAATAATAATAATAATAATAATAATAATAATAATAATAATAATAATAATAATAATAATAATAATAATAAGTACATGTAACCTAACTTACCTAAGTACATGTTTTTACTTGCCTCAAAAAAAAAAAAAAAATTACATGTTTTAACGGTAACATAATTTATTTTAGAGTGTATAATTGTATATACATTACCTAAACTTATTTTGTCAACAAGTCAAAACAAGATGAGCTAATAATTCAAGGACCTCCCCTCCCCGTCTTCAAAAATTACTTACTTACGCATACCTGACAGGTAATCTAATTGAACTTAACGAGCAAAATTTCCAAAGAAAAGAATTGATCCACAATTCCACATATGTAGTCATCTTGAAGGAGTTGAGATCGTTGTTTGGTTAACCACTAGTAAAACTTCTTATGGAAAGTTATTTCCTAAGATATTTGGCTTCTCATAATATAGCTAAGCAAATTCCTCTATTTTATGAAAAGTAAAACTTCTTAAGATATTCAGCTTCTCATAATTTAGCTAGGCCAACAATATCGTACTCTTCCACTTCCTGCATAGTTCTAATTATCGTGACTTTTGATGTCAACCAAAAAACACCAAGTTATCTAGTAAGAATTTTAAGTGCGTTTGCCGTTTAGTATGAATATTGAAAATGAAATGGAAAGGAAACATAGGAGGAAAGGATTCATATCTCTTACTCTCTCCGTTTTTTTTTTTTTAAGTGACCCATTAAGAATTTTAGCAATATTCCCTAAACATACTTTGACCAATGTTTATGAATTATACATAAGAAAAAAATATATATATAGTGCATACTTGTTAAAATCGTCTCAATGAGTAGGTAATTAATATTCAATTGTTATAATTTAAAGTTAATGATAATTAAAGATTATTAGTCAAAGTTTTGCATCAGCATGCGTATCATGTCACTAAGGGGCACTTAAAAAAAACAAAGGGGATAACATTTCTTTTATTTGTTTTAATCATAGAAAGGAGTCATTTAAACTTAACTCCCTTTGTTTGAGAAGAGTAAGGATAATTGTTACCTTAGATTTTAGGGAAGTAACAAATGCATGGAAACCCTTAGGTAATGTTAATTGTTACCCCTGTCTTCTAATCAAACATTTGATAACAGTAATTATTTAATTGAATCCGATTTCCAACCCAAAAAACTTCTTACCAAACAAACTCGGTAGAAACTGATTTTGGTGACAACTAAAAGGAAGTGGTGGATACTGGATACCCAAGTAACCCAACACGACTCCTCTCAAGGCTCTCCACAAGAACATCTAAAAAATCAAAATATATATACTGAAATTTATCTCAAAAATAAATATTAAAAAAAAATTAAAAAAAAAAAAACAAAAAAAAACACAACAATGCACATTGGACTTGGTACCGAGCTACCGACCCCTAGATTTCACAGGTTAACCTCCCGGATCAAGCACACCCAACCCTACCCAACCTGAATATGTGTGTCCACATTTAAACAGAAGATGAACATAAACCAACTGCACATTCATTCAAAAGAAGCATGACCAACGTAAGTTTCCAGAAGACCTACTAGCGTCTAGCGTTTTGTAAAACATTTGAATTACAAAATTATCAGATCCAAATCGGGCAATAATCTAAGAATCAAGAGTCAATAGAGATCAAATAGAAGTTAAACTTTCATAACATTCCAAACTACTGTAGTTTGCAAATCTTTCTACCTTCCTGTCCACGGCACTTCTACAATTACTGGTATTATCTTTACCAAAAGCGATTTGATACGTTAGCAAGAAATTGCAGGCTACCTCATAAATCAGACTTCAAGTGTGGCTCCACAACAAAGCTAGCTATACATATCTGCAAGAGAAAGACAGACCAATATAAGCTCTATATATAACAATGCTAAACTTTCCAACAGCCAAAATGCCAAATTAAATTTGAAAGACAAATAAAGCTTAATGATTCATATCCTTCAAACTTATAAGTAACCAGTAACAGGGAATTGCTACTTCAATACTGTCAATACCCAAAGGATCTCAAAACTTTCTAGATATTGCAACTATAAACAATCAATTTCCACATTCGAAGTGATTCAAAGAAAATCAATCAACAGGAAAAAAAAAAAAGAAAAAAAAACGTTCAATAAGCTGTTGCAGGACCTAAGAAAGATTTAAGCATGCCGAAGGTTACCTTATTCTCCTATACATCTATAGCCCGGTAAATCATGTATTCTTATCCCAGTAATAACTTTTGTTTCCCCAGGTTTGCCAGGAACACACTTAGGTTTACAGGCGCCATTGTCAATGACTATAAACAAAAAAGGCAAAAAATAAAACTTTGGAGATAATCCTATTACTTAGCACTTGGGAATCAAAAACACCCTAGTTCTAGCATCTACAGCATGACTTTGATGATTAGAGTTTCACAATTCATCAAAGTTTGATTTGCTCTGATCTGAACATATCTGAATTTGATGATTAGCCCTGATCACCATTAACATATAGTAGGACCAGAAATGACTTTGATGATCAAAACTTTCACAATTCATGTTGACTAATGCAGAAAATAACAATAACAGATTCACTTTCAGAAAAGAATCATTTCATACTGCTACTATCTCTGTCCCTGAATAAACTTCACACTTTCCTTCACCAAATGTCCCCACATAAACTTCACAATTCTTTTTTCTTCTCTCTCACGTCTCAATATCATCAATCATTCTTTGAACTTATTCCCACACACTTTCTCTTATGCACTACCAAATCATTATTCACATCTAACAACTAAAATGATCCCAACTAAGAAAAATGTACATCAAAGATCCGAATTATGACAAATACTCAATGCTAATTGATAAAGGCTAACACCATTATTAACAGAGTTAAAATGGGCCCATAAGTGTTCGATATCATCATAATGGAGGATCATACATGTACATTTTTGTGTCTAGAGAATAACTCTTTCTATTAATCAACAATAGTTGAGATTATTTTTGCAGCAAGTGTTATCAATCAAGAATAATGCAAAAAGGTTTCTATTCTCCAAGAGATTGCGCTTATAGGTCAATGAAAAAAATACAAGGAAAGTTACAAAACAACCCTAAATATAGGCACTTATCTAGTTCTTCCAAAACTTGGCATAATTCAGAGTTCACATTATAATCATATAGTCAGATAATCTTTATAACCTAGTAAAGGGCTGAAGGCTGGGTAACAGCATCATTTTGCACTTATCACAATTACATCCTCAAATAAGGGGTTTGATAGAATTCTAAAATTATCCCTATATAAAAAAAAGGTTGCTATAGCCTAGAGACAAGTAAATGCAGCCCATCATAAGTCCTATACTACTCCCATGTTCTCAAAGAAAAGCAACACGCAGATCCCACTCAGTACATCTGTTGCCAAATAAATAAAAATTCCACAGCTTGGTTGCAGTAAAATTTGAATCAGCGTTTATGATAAAATTGTCAAGCCATTTACCCTGTATCTCGACCTTTGTGACCTTTCTGAAATTTCAGTCTTCAATTCCTACAGAGTTTCATCTCTTTCCCCTAAATGAGCTACAAACTTAAATACATGTCCTCACTACATGTTGAACACACTACTGGAAAAAATTGCAGTACAACAATATTGTTTTGGTAAAACAACACGGATCAGGGGCCCAGCTAACGCGTGAAACACTCCGCCTGGGGAGTACGGTAGCAAGACCGACCCCACGTACATGTACAAAGAACCGAAATCGTTCATTGCCCCTTCAATAATGTTTTCTTCATAAAAACTAGGACCATACTCCTTGTACTCAAGCCTCAAACTTGAAATAGGCTGCTCAAACAAAATTACGGCAACTTAGAATACGGCACAACTAGGTGAAAATGTCAGCAGCAACAAAGGAAAATAGGACAAAGGTAAGGAGAAGTGAACCTAAGAGCAAACAATTAATTTCCTAACAAGCTTAAGCCTATTTGACAAATCTAGTCACGATATGTCAGATGATCCTAAGATACGGCAAAGAGATTGAGCATTGATTGCCCCTGGTTGTGCAATACCTCCAAAATAAAGTTAATTTCAACATCTGGTTAGCCCTATCCGACAAGTTATATCAAAAAATCATCATGCTAAAGAGATGGAAAGGTAGTTGATTCCTTAAACCTATCAACTAAACAAATCGACAGACCCATAATGTAAGTGATCTTCCTGCCAAATTCAGATTCAACACCCAAAAATTAAGAAGATAAAAAATATAAAAAATAAAAATAAAAACCGTTCACCAACCATCTAAATTCAATGTCACTAAGATTGTGATCTGTGGTCTTCATTAAAGAACATCAGTAAGCACAATATATAGTAGTGAACCTAGACGTCATCAAACGGAAAATGCCTCTGGGATCTAATATTGATATAATGCTACATCTCTCAACCAAAAAATGACAAATATCCACCCTTAATAATTCCCTTCATAGAAGCTAAAGAAGCATGGATACATAACCATAGAAAAAAATCATTGATATGGTCGCAATTGCAGTAACACTTTGTTTGGATAGAAGGAAATGGAAGGAAATGAAGAGAAGAAAAAGGGAGGAGGACAACTTCACTTGTTTGGGTAAAGGATTGGGGAAACGAGAGGGAGAGATCCATTTTCCCTCTCTTTAATATCCATAATCCCTCCAAAATTGAAGAGATTTGAAGGAAAAATGGAGCTCACCTTTCTCCTCCTTTCTCTTCTCTCTCCTTCCTCCTCTTTTCCTCCCCTTCCTTTCCATCCTTCTTTGCTATCCAAACAAAGTGTAAAGATTACATTGTCGCGGAAACACCTTGTAACAGACATGGTTTAAATCTTGTTTAAATTTGAGTTTAAAAAAGTGTTCTTTCAACAGAATATAACCAAATCTATCATAATATCAAAGGTAACATATTTGGTGACAAATAAAATTTACTTAATATATAATGTTTTATAAACTACGTAGTACATAATTACTAAAAATATATGGTCAGTTTAAATAAAAGAACAGACATAACAGATAAAAAAATCCTAACATGATGAGTCATCATTATGTAACAATCGACACTGGGAGAAAAGCATAATATATGTCAGGGTGTTATGTAATGGGATTTCTGAAAATAGCAAATCCTGCTACGGAACAGCTACTGTGTAACGGAATGGACAAGTTTCAATTCCATGTACATAACACAGCAGAAAAAAATGGAGCAGCTGGATAACATGTCATGGGATGTGACAAAGTTTTGCACTGCCTGTCACTGGCCTACCGAAACCCTCTTCCTTTATCCAGGCTTGGGACTGGCAGCGGGAAAACCCACTGGCGGAGCAGTGGATAACATGAAGGAAGTTAAACAATGGCAAAGAACATTAATCAAATATCACACATACATACGACACCCCCTCCAAATATAAAAGTAAAACATCATTTACTGAAGTTAAAGAACAAAAATAGTGATATCGCAAAGAAAGAACAGGAAGTTCAGCAAAGACATCCAGTCAACAATAATCAATATATGCCTGAGAACTCTGAAAATATTAGAACCTAACTAACTACAATATATTAAACAGGATATTAACTTGATGTTTGACAAAATTATGTTTAGGGAGATAAGCAAGAACCTGTAAGACTTGAAGAGAGCATGAAAGAGAGGCTAGTTCCTCCTGACATCAATGAACAAACTATGACAGGAAATTCAAGGATTGTTTTTATGTGGATAGAAATCATGTTAACTGACAATCATATGTAACCCGAATAAAACCAAACAAAATAAACTCATCAACCTTTCTGATCCTAAGGGGAATATCAACAGCCAATCCCGTATTCCCATCATATTAAGAATGGCAAACATCAAGACATAGAAGAAGCACATGAACTCTACCAGTCTACTCAGAATCACCAAACCTCTACAAACTTCAACTACTACAACAACGAACCAAGACTCTAATAGTCTAATACTATGGTTTATCTCCATCAAAGCCACCAAAGCAAAGTATATTTCACACCAGCCATCTCTCTTAAAACAACCTACGACATAATTCCATTAAATTTTGAGCATAAAAAATCTAGCAAACAAACCATAGAGCATGCAATTAATTAAATAAATCAAAGACAGTTACTTTATGCAAAGGGGCAAATTGCATATTTGAACAAGGACATCCGCCTCAATATAATATATGCTCCTCAAACACATCATTATAAAACCATAATAATCTAAAATTCACCCGATCAACAAATCAATAAAATTAAACAAATTAACAAGTTAAGAAGCGTAATCTCACCATTCGAATCGGATCTCTTAGCACGCTTAACCTTCTCAAGCTGAACCTGCATTTCAACAAGCATCTGCATCCTTTGACACTCCATCTCCTTAGCAAATTGCATCCTCTGCTTCTCCAATTCAACCATCTGCCTCTGCTTCTCGGCTTCGACCTTCGCATACACCTCCCCAAACTTCTCAATCACCCTAGCCAGCTTCCTTATCCCATCCGCCTCACTACTCTCTCCACTCATCTCCACTTCCTCTTCCTCCTCCTCCTCCTCTTCCTCATCCTCATCCTCATCCTCACTCTCTGCCGCAGCAGCGGCAGCAGCAGCAGCAATCGCCGAATAATTCTTCCTAAAATACGACGGCTCATCACCTCGCATCGGCGCCGGTGTCGGAACCGGAGGCGACGGAGACGGCGCCGGCCTCTTCTGAGGCAAAATCACCGGCGTCCGATGAGCAATCAACGGAACCGCCATTGGAGGCGAAGGAGAAGAAACCTTCTTCAACGGCATAGTAGATCCAATCAATTGATCCAAAGGATCAAAGAAAGGCCAAGAACTCTTATACTCACCATTAGAATCCAAAACCCTAGCCTTCTCGATCTTATACTTCTTCTTCAAAGTATCGATCCGATTCTTACACTGCACATCCGTTCTCCGAGCTTTTTTCACATGTCCATGGCGATTATTCACCGTATCAGCAACCTCCTGCCATTGTTTCTGCCTCAGATTTCCTCGATTCAGCTCAATATACCTCTGTCCCCACGCCTCGATCAGCGTAAACGTCGCATCTTCGCTCCAACAATCCTCCCTCACTGGAACAGGCCGAGAAGATGAAATCATCGCCAAAGATGGCGACGATGAATCTGGACCTTCCGCCATTGACGAAAACCTTCAGAGAATAATCAGATCAATCAAAGGAACAAGAAGATGATGATGAAGAAGAAGGAGGTAGGGTAGGTTGTTGAAGTTATGGAGGTAATCGGAGGAATTTTAACGGAGGAGAGAGAAAGTAGGAGAGAGAAAGAAGAGAGACAAAAAGCGCCGGCCGACGAGAAAAGCATGATAAGAGGAAGAAAGGGATAAGAGGGTTTGAGAAAGAGGGATAAGCGATGACGTAACGTGAGATCGCCGGTAAGGGTGACATCGAGAGGGGCGCGTGAGCCGACGTTACGGAGAGTGTGGGATTTTTTAGCTAGTATTAAAGCTTTTTTACGAACTTAATTAATTAGCCTTCCATTAACCGATATTTTGTGAGGGAAGACTTCAAGTTTTAGGGTTCCTTATTTTTTTAAGTAACTACACTCTACAACAAATGCCTATGGGGGGTTCTTCTTGGGACTTACTTTGATATTTCAAATATTGATTTCAGACGAACTTACTGCTTTTGTTAGTAGTGGTGGTTTTCAAAATGGAGATCATGTGGATTTAGAGACAACAATCCAAATATTGATTTCGAGCAATCTTCTTACTTTAGTTAGCACTGGTAGATTTAATAATGTAGATCGTGGATCCAGTTTTGGAGAACAATGTGGTAAATGTTTCCTGAATTATTTTTATTATGTAAACATTAACACAATTATTGTTAGGTTTGAAAGGTGTGGTGAACAACTCAAGATTTCAAGGCATAAGGGTGCATAGCTTTGGAGTTTAGTTATGGATTATTACTTGGTGTTAAACAGTGATGGGTGATGAATGGCTAACTTCAAATGAGTATTTCTCAAAATCTAGAGACTATTTTGAGATGATTCACGTTGGAGGTAATAACTTGTCTCTATAGCTTTCCAACCACTAGTCATAAGCTTGTTTTGGACAAGAAATTGCGCGTTTGCACAAGACAAGAAGGTGCGTCAGTGCAAAAGTATGCTAGAAATGCGATTTTCAGCCTAGAGGCAGTAGCATTTGCGCATGCGCGCCTTCGCAAAGTTGGAGCAGGGGAGACTCGGGATTGCCCTTTCGCGCAAGGGATGCATGGCCCATCCACTCCTTTGTGCCCTGCAACCCCAATTCCTGCCACGTGTTATATTATTAGTCGTCGATGTTTCATTTATGATTTGGGGTATATATGTTCATAGCCGTCAATATTTAGGAGAGGCGAGTGTGAAAAATTGTAGAGAGAGAAAGAGCGTCTCAAATGTAGATCCAAACACTTAGGGTTTGAGTGTTTGAAAGGGTGAGTTTGGGGTGGAATCTTTCATGGTATTTGAAAAGCTTGTAATCTACATTGTAATTCATCAGAGTATTACTCCATTATGGAATTGTGGGTTTTATCCCAATTCTCATTCCACGATAAATTTTCTTTTGTTTTGTTGTTTACTTGTTGCTTTCAGTTTTTTTTTTTATTTTTTGGTAAATAGGGAATATTATTACCAAAAAGAGCTGCGAAGCAGCAAAAACAGGAATACAAACAGCCCAAAGGCCTAAACTCCAACACACCAAAAGCCCCAAAGGGCACACAACCACCAGCCAAGGAACAAGGCCCAAAGGCCACTTTCTAGGAAGGGTTCCAAAGAGCCTTGAACCAAACACGGCTCTTCTGAACTCAATGGAAAAGAGCTACCCTCTACGAGGATTACCTAAAACCAAAGGAACAGGACAACAAAAAGCACAAGAACTTACAAAGAAAAGGCCAACAAATTAGAAAAGAAAAAGACAAAGCCCAAAACGCCAACACCTAGGAGTTGCCAAAAAAAAACCAAACCAAAAAAAGCGATGCAGCAGCACAAAAGACAAGAAGCCAGCAGCAAAGCAACACAAAACAGCAAAAAAACAATATCAGCAACCAGAACAGAACAGCAGCAGCAAGGCAGTAGGCTGAACAGACCAACAGCAACAGCAACCAGGTAGCCCACCAGCCTGAACCAGCAGAGAACTAACGCACCCAGCGGCCCCACAGGCAGCAAACAGAAACCAGCAAGCTAGCAAGACTGCCAACAGCAAAATGCAGCAGCCAGCAGCTCTACAGACAGCAACACAGAATAGCAGAAGCCAGCAGACATGCTACAGCAACACAACACAGCACCAGCAGACAAAAAACAGCAACACAACACCAGCACCAGCGGGCATAAAAAAACAGCAGCAGCAGGGTAGAAGGCAACAACAGCAGCTAGCAGAACCTGCAAGAAGCCAGAAACATGAACCAGAAGCCAGCAACAGCTGGAGCACCTGTAGGCAGTAAAGAACCAAAACCAGACAGGTAACACGCTACACATAAGCCAACAGAGACACAACAACAGCATAAACCAGCAGCACACAAGCTGCAGACAACAGAACAGAAAACAGAAAGGTAGCAACCCGCATAGAACCCGACAGAAGCCATAACAGCAGCTCAAACTAGCAACAAGCAGACTAAACCACCAGCTAAACAGCCCCATAGCATTAAATCACGAGATATTTCCAAGCTCCTTCTAAGCATCTACAAGCAACTTTAAACACAATATTCCGAAACTCGGAATTAGCATTGACACAAGAACCATTAAACATGGTTGAGTTACGTTGAATCCAAAAGATATAGACCGTTTTAGCAAAAAACATTAAGAATAAGTTCTTCCTCTCACCCGCTTTCCTACAATATCTCAAGGCCCAATCAACCTCCAACTGAAACCTTTGAATAGGTTTTTACTAATATGAAACAAATCAAGCACCTTTTGCCAAATCTTACTAGAATAAGCACATCCAAAGAAGAGGTGTTGAACATTGTCAGGCTTAGTCAAGCAAAGCAAACAAACGGGATCACAAGTAATATTCCATAAAATCAACCTATCCTTAGTCAGAAGCTTATTCAAGATAGCCATCCACAAAATAAAGACACTCTTAGGGGAAGCTTTATTATTGCACACAAGCCTCTTCCAACTCACTTTGGGACTTTGTTGTCTAATAGAACTATAGATCTTCTTGATTTGAACTTTGCCATTTTGCTTCACAACATCCCATCCACCACAATTCTCAATAACCTCTCTACACTTGAGGATCTTCTTTAAAACCCATGAGCATTTTTGAGGAAGAGAAGTAGTCCAAATATCTTTAATCCTGAAATAATAAATATGAACCCATGTCACCCAAAGATTATCAGCCTTATTACAAATGTCCCACAGATTCTTACAAACCACAGAAATGTTCCAATCCTCTAAAGCAAGAATATTTCAACCTCCACTTGCCTTAGGAAGACACAATTGTTTCCAAGACACAAGAGCTTTTTTTGTAGGATTAGAATTCCCGGACCACAAAAAGAACCGAAACCTAGCCTCAATCTCTTTTATGGTTTTCTTAGGAAGAATAAAGATTTGAGACCAATAGGTTTGCATACCAAACAAGACACTCCGAATAAGCTGCAGCCGCCCAGCATAAGACAAAAACCTCACCGCCTAACTATCAACCCTTGAAGTTATTTTGGCAACCAAGGGCCTACATTGAAGAACAAAGAGCTTTTTTGAAGAAAGGGGCACACCTAAATACCGGAAAGGAATACAACCAGCACTCATGCCAAGGATTTGGAGAAAAAGTGTCTTTTCATCATCAGAAACTCTACCAAAATAAGCCTCACTTTTATCCAAATTAGCAGAAAGACCGGAAGCATAAGAGAATTTCATAAAGGCTTGCATCAAAATCTCAAGCGAAGTCAAGTCACCCCTAGCAAACAATAAGAGGTCATCAGCAAACATAAGGTGCGTCAACTTCAATTTTTCACATCTAGGGTGGAAATTGAAATTAGGATTAGAGCTCAAATCATGAAGGCACCGAGACAAATACTCCATGTTGATTGCAAACAAGAAGGGGGAAAGAGGAATCCCTTGCCTTAAGCCCTTCTTAGCTTTAAAAGGCTTCGAAGGAGCACCATTGATAAGGATAGAAAAAGAAATAGAAGTGATGCATCCAAGAATCCACTTTATGAACAAGCTAGGGAAACCAAGTTCCTGAAGCACAGACTCAAGAAATCCCCACTCAACAAAATCATAAGCCTTTTTTAGATCCACCTTAATCATGCACCTGGGGGAAATGAACTTATGAGTATATCCCTTTATTAAGTCAATAGCCAAAAGGATATTATCTCCAATATGCTTCACAGGAATGATCCCTGCCTAGGCATCATCCACCACCTCACCAATGACTCGCCAAGCCTTGTAGTTATGATTTTAGACACAATTTTATAAAGCACAGAGCAACAAGCAATAGGCCGGAAGTCTTTCACATAAGACGCATTATGAACTTTGGGCACCAGAGTGATAGTGGTGCAATTCCACTGAAGGGGCATCACACCAGTATCAAAGAACTCAAGCACAGCAGCATAAATATAAAACTTAATAATCTCCCAAGTATGCTTAAAAAATTTAGCATTAAACCCATCAATACCAGGAGCTTTATCATCAGAAATACCCTTAATAGCCTAATCAATCTCATCACAAGAAACAGGACTAATCAGAAAAAGCTGAGAGGAGGGAGAAAACTGCTTACCAGATCTCAAAATAACCAAATCAACACCAGACAAAGAATCAGAGCAGGAGCCTAGCAAAGACTTATAAAAACCAAGGATCTCTTGCTCAATATCAGAGGGAGCACGAAGAAGAACATGATTATCATTAAGGAGAGAGTCAATTCTATTCCTTGCTTGCCTATGCTTCATCACAGAGAAGAAATACTTAGAACTAGAATCCCCAAGCCGAACCCAATCAACTCTAGACTTTTGCTTCCAAATGCTTTCTTGAACATTCTTCCAATACTTGAGCTTCTGAATAGCCCCATCTTCCCGAATTGCCAGATCAGGGTCATTGAAATTCACAGCTAATTGGTTCTGAATGTGACATAGCTCATCAAAGGCTTGATCAATTTTCCCCTCAACATTCCCAAAGGATCTAGTATTCAACTCCTTGAGTTTAGTTTTAACCTGCTTAAGCTTCAGCCAAACTCTAATCATTTTACCACCCGACACTTGAACCTGCCAATCATCATGAACATATTTCTGAAAATCAACATGAGTAAGCATATAGTTCAGGAATCGAAAAGGCTTTCCTTTCCCAGGAAGAGAAGGAAAGACCTCATAAAGCAAAGGTTAGTGATCAGAAAGAGAAGGATGAAGATAGATAGCCTCAACATTACCAAACTACCCCAACCACTCTAGATTCACCAGCCCTCTATCAATTCTAGAATAGGTGAAAATACCAGTATGAGACTTATTAGACCATGAATAAAAAGCACCCATGCTCTTAATTTCAACTAAATTCACATCTTCAAATAACCTGTGAAAATCCCTAGTTTCATAATCAGTGACCGAGTTGCCATTAATCCTATCCTCATCATTCAACACAGAATTAAAGTCACCCGAGCAAAGCCAAAGGATAGAAGTAACCCCAAGTTTTGAGATCCC